AAATAGATCCCTACTTATTATCAAGAAATGTTTATCAGTGTTTATTTGTAAAACGTTCACATATAAATCCATTGTAATATACATAAGTGTTTCCATTTCTCGCTTAATGCTGAACTTTTTTATATTAAAATTGATCTTTCCGAAAACCTGAGTACAAAGACTAAAATCTCACTATCATTAGTATCTCAACTATTAATCAATTCTCCACCATAAATGATATAAACAGGCAGTTGTATTTATGGCACATAAACAGAGAATGTACTAGAATTTACATTTATGTACAAACTTAGAAATAAAAACAGAATAATGTTAAAAAACTCTTGATAAGGTTGAATATTTAGAACAAACACATTCAAGGAAATCTGTAATTATCGTCACAAATGTTGGCACCGATTCTATTCTCATAATATAATTGTATTTTAAATGATAATATACTAAAATAAATATGACTTATTTCCGAAGGGCCTTCTCAATACCTTACAGAACTGTGGCTCTTTCTAAACATTCGAATTATTGCATTGTAATGTCTAACGATAAGTCAGTGTTCATGACAAAGTTTATATAATAAAAACAAAACGAAGGTTAGCTCGTTATTCTTTTATATTTTATTGCATTACAGCACAAAATTCTAACTTTATCTCTGTTATGTCTATATGTTAGTGTAACCTTAATGAACAGTACGGTAGTACGCAAAGCTTAACCAAGAGAAAAGGAGCTTCATAACGATTTGCTGTTTGGCTACTACAATATTTCATGCTGCATCTATATAGCTCGGCAGTATGATTAATAAAGGGTTTTTTAGCACAAAGCTCACAATGGGCTATTTGTGCTGTGCTTTGCCCACTGTGGGTATTAAAATTCGACTTTATTGCTTCAGACTTGCTGCTGGGGGGGGGGGATAGAGGGAAAAGTATTAAACTAATTATTCTTGGCGCATTTTGTATGTTTCGCGCAGCAGTGTCTTATTGACATTTATGTTCGTTATCAAAAAGTACAATTATTACATACTGTGTCTATGTTACATGTAGCAAGATAAGTGAATATATGTGTCCAAAATACGAAAACGTGCAGACAATACATGTACTCTTTTCTGCATTATTTGTGTATGTGTGTGAAGTCAGTTTTACTTTGCAAAAACAGCTGTGGTATCATAATATACATGCACCGCGATGGTTTATGTTGCGAATCTTTCACTCTTTGATATCTGCGTGAAACGTGTAAATGTACAATGCGCACTGGTAGATATTATCAGGACATTTTTTGTATTATTTTATTTTGCTGTTATCCTTGTGGAATTCCTTCAATTGTGAATTAATGCGCTTTTAATAACATAGGGTAAGTAGTTATAAAGTTTGTGATCATGAAAACCGTGATGACCCAAGTTGTAGTTATGAAAGTATTTTCATAACAAATATTTAGAAACGCCTATTTCACAATGTTGGTCTGTGTTGTTATATCCACATCTTAGCAGTTCAGTACCGATACTTAATACTGATACGTCCTGCAGAAAAGCTCACTGATGACTATTCATCCAATATAATGTTTTTAAAGAAATGTTCTAGAGGTGTCACGAAATATATTTTTTTCCATTTTATTGATTTATTTTTGTGTGCAAAGTCTCACCTTTCAACAGCTGCACAAGAATTGCACAGCACACACTTGTTTTTAAATGGTGAAATATTCCAAGATTTCTCAAGTTCGACGATAACATAAAACAGGTATTAAAACTCATTTCAGATTGATATTTGTATCAATATCTACAATCCCTTTTAATATTTTCAAAATGTTGTAAGTTTTCTGGTGAAATGGTTAATAACAATAGATCACCTTTTTTCAAACGATACTTACATTTAACTAAATGCAACTTAGATCGTAGTTAAAACTGGAATCGATTAATCTAAACAATTTTCATCCCGTGGTTGGGTTTTTTAAGAAAACAGAAATTTCCAGCTCTTCTTGGTTGGATTTCCTGGTTGATATTCATGCAGCACGAATAAGCCAATAATAAATGTCTCGTGTTGGAATACTACATGCTCTTTAAACCTTTACGAATTAGCAAAGACACGGGATTGATAATGTTTCTTACTGTGCAAAAATTAGTTTCTTTAGATTTGTTTGCACTGCTTACGTATGAAGCTTACAGTTGTAAATGCAAGTTACATCATTTATGTATAGTGATGATCTAAAACATGCATTTAAACGTGTTAGTACTTCTATTACAGTGTTAATGTCCATGGTGCAGGCACAAACTTGAACTAAGTCTGTGATGTGTGCTAATAAACACTCATAGGATGCATATGAGAGAAACAGAACTTTTACGTGAGATGTTTATGTGCACTGTACAAATGTATATTACTTAAATATTCTGTGCAATGTGACGATGTATGTGTGTGAAGTGTTTAACTCCAAATATTCTGTTTGAGGCACAGTATAAAAAAATAAACAGAACAAGAATTTTTATATGATGAAATGCGTGATGCAAATATGCAACGTCCAAATGTGAGAAGTGTCAATTCTGTCTCAGATACCTACGTGCACTGTACATATGTGAAACATCACTATTTTATACAGTACTAATGTGTTATGTGTTGTTTTGTGCAAATGTAATTTGTAGTGCTTCCTTGCTGATGTACACAGTTCACACGTGAAGTTCGGTATTTCGTGTAAGGTGCTGATGTACACAGTTCACGCGTGAAGTTCGGTATTTCGTTTAAGGTGCTGATGTACACGGCGCTGATGTTTTTACGGTCTACGTATTGGACATGGCAGTAAGGACATATTTGTACGGTGATTGTTGGATGTCCTTTGGAAAAAACAACCCAACATGTTATACGATCAAGAAAAGGAATGTTAGTAAAATATTTTCTTTTCAAAGAGACTGTACTTGGTTTAAAAATGAAGCAATATTAAAAAAACTAACGGTAGAGGTAACCACCATGAAGTTCGATATTTCGTGTAAGATGCTGATGTACACAGTTAACACCTGAAGTTCAGTATTTCATGTAAGGTGTTGATGTACACACTTCACATCTGAAGTTCAGTATTTAGTGTAAGGTGTTGATGTACACACTTCACACCTGAAGTTCAGTATTTAGTGTAAGGTGTTGATGTACACAGTTCACACCTGAAGTTCAGTATTTCGTGTAAGGTGCTGATATACACAGTGCATACGTGAAGTGCAATATTTCCATGTAAAGTGCTTACATGCACAATGCGCAAAAAAATCAGCACCTTTGTTAAAAGATGTTCATGTACATTGTGCATAAGTGAATCGGTAATTTCGTGTAGTGCTTATTTGCAGTGTACATATTTGAAATATAGCATTTCTGTTTAAGGCGCTATAATGTATACTGTGCATATGTGAGATGCAGTGCTTCTTTATAAGGTGCTGAATTTTAGTCCTGTCAATATATACGTATCCCAGTTTAGGTACATGGGTGTTACTTACTACTTGCACGGCGCTTGTTTTAGTATAAAGTATTGACGTATATCGTGCATCTGTGCCGCTTACATATGTTTACTTTTGAAATAATAAAATACGAATTTTGCTTGAGGAAAAAAATATATTACAATTTGAGATTCAACAAATCCTTTCATTACCACTCAAGATATAGCTGGTATGGAATTGATTAAAAAAGTCAAACAATTTTATTACTGGATCTATGATTAGTTTACTGGCTAATAAAAATATGTCACTAGGAAAGCATTGTATTGAATAAGTACACGAATACACATACTTATGACCTCATGATACAAATACAATGCTTGAAGAAAAGTATCTTCTGTTGAGCTTGTTAATGTCAACAGTTACATCTAAGAAAAATTCTTGATATCTCATCTTAATATGAATCAAATTGAATCTGTCAGCTCTGCTACAATTGTTATAAAATCTTTCATAAGACAAACCAGAAAATCTTTAGTGACCAGAAAAATGGCAAAATTGGCAACTTGGGTTCGAAAACATACAACATACATTTTGCTTTTTCATATGTATAATTAATGTATTTGAACCGATACATCATGCACAGAAATGTTCAATATTATCCAAAGCTAAGTTTTAGGAAAACAGCAGAAATATTATGTGCAAACTTGATTATAAATGTAATTTCAAAGTTTTTACTTCTTAATCGCTAAGTTCTTTAGAGAACTTGATGAGATATGCAGTTATAAAACTTAAACTATATTCAAATGGATAAGTCAATCGTTATGTTATAGATTTAGATTTGTTTTCAACGTCATGACCCTACTTTGAAAGCTGTTGTATGACTTAATAGGTTTTATTTTTTGCAGTATTTCCAAGAATAGCGAACAACAATTTTTATCTTATTTCTACGTTTGTCTTCTTGGTCATACTGTACATGAATAAAAATATATATATAGAGAGGCTACATACATTTAAGTTCTAAATATAAATTAATACAATTTACAAGTGTTTACGAAACCACCATATCTTGCTTGCTCTTTTAAACTTCAGAAATACAATATAATATGTGCAATAAATTTTCGCCAAACCACAAAATATACGTACACTGCATAACACAGTTACTAAGCATTACTAATTTAACATGAAAACAGCGGTGGCTGTACGTACATAACCCCGACTGTAAGTTAAAAAAAAACTCTTCATTACAGACAGAGGACTGAGTAATTTAAAATATTAGAGTTTTATTTTTGCACTACGAACAAGATATATTTCAAACTTCTCCAAATTAAGTAGTATATATATATATTCACTCGGTAATATGTAAGAGCCAAATATTTTATAATCACAATTCCCTAACAAGTATTTGCTTGTTTGCTCGCAAAGCTACCAAAAGGGCTGTCAGCGATATGTCCACCGCGGGGAAACTAACCTCGGATTTTTGCATTATAAGCGCTCAAGTTTATCTCTGCGCCAATGGGGGGGGGGGGGGTCAATTTTAACAATTAAACATTAAGGTTTATAAAAACAATTAATTTAATAACTTATATTTTACCATTATTTTATGATTGTCATATTTTTCTTTTAATTTCTTTGGGATTATGACTTTGAACAGATTTCTATATAATTTTAAAACTTTGTTTTTTTTTCAGGTACTCTCAAAGAAACTGTTTAGCACACAATTTTGAACAAAAAATCATTATATTAATCGATTAAATTCTATCGAACTTAGCCATTAAAAAATAAGTAATTCTTGGTTTTGTAGCTTAACCACTTATGACAAGCATAAAGTTAATCAATAATTTCCTTTCAAACACACTGTGATTCTCACTAGCTTGTAAGTTTAATAAGATAATAAAAAAACGTGTATCTAATCCTGAGTTCGGAAGCTCCAAAGAACATCTTGATATGATCCTAACAGACTTCCTCTTCTTCATCACAGAAGACAAACGTACGTACAGCAATTCTAGACACTGACGTTTAATAACGTGATCGCTGCTGGTTTTCACCACCAGATGACACTATATACATACACTGCAATTGATACCAATAGAAGTTTGGATGGTATCAATCCAGGAGCTGTTGATGGATTTTCAGTTGGATTTTCTGCGAACTCAACTGGCCATATAGGGGCAGCAGGAGCTCTCGTAGAAGAGTAACTGAAGTAAAGATCATTAGAGTTGTCCTCTTCAGTGTCATCAGGTATCCATCCACTTCCACTGCCACTAGCTGCCCAAATATTATCCGCTAAAAAAAGACCAAGTAACTCAAATTATGCAAATATTAATGAAATACTTACTATAATTAACAATTAATACTTTCATCGGGTACTTCAAGCCTTTCTTTTTCGAAGTCTCTTAAATAATAACAAGGAGTAATAATAATTATACTGGTATGGTGATTGAAGCAGAGCGTGGCCTAGTGGATAGCCTACCCCAACTGTGATTCGTGGCCCATTGTCGCAAAAAAAAAGCGTTCCGCAATACAGGGCCGTGGATACGCAAATACAACAACAACAACAACAACAAAAATATAGTGGCCAAATCCCATTATTCGATCAGACAAGAGAATCAAAAGCGAAGGTGATGGGTTCTGTGGAGTGTAACTACGCTCACTCTAGTCTCTCACAGATGGCTATGTGCAAACAGACCATCTGTAGCTTTCCGCAATGTTCTGAAAAAAACAATTATGGTGATTAAGACAACAGCTACAAGAAAACTGTAATTTACGCCGTGAAATATGGAGTTAAATCGTGATCAATTTGTACCATTGGTAGATGTAAAAACCAAAGACATTCAGATGACATTACCGGCCACGTACGTAGAATGGAAAGAACATTACTGTATTTTAGGCAAATCGTTTAAAATTAAATAAATTATTTTAATACTTGGCCTTACTTTCATTTCTGTGAAATTTACAAATCAATTTATTAACTTTTTCACAGTTGACTAGAGATAAATAACCAGATACACCATGCAATTATCATTAAATTTCTTCTGACAAGAGAGAAGAAAACAGTGTAATATTTTCTAATTCGTTTTCTATGCCCAAAAACTAGGACGCTGATTTTAAAACACATTTTGGCTAGATGAAAGCGATATTGTTTTGGAATGAAAAGTTGAAGCTAACATTTCAGACAGTTATAAAGTCCTGATTTCTGGAACTATTAATATACCTTTAGAAACAACTTCAGGTAAGTTATAATACTCGTACCACATCAAACACTCTTATGAGCAAAGAATAATTAATAACTAGCCGCGACCCCTTCGCTGGAATTTTTCATATTCTATAATTTTCACGAAGAGCATTTAAGCTACGTTTTCTTGCTGGCATTATGTGTTACATCGATAAATCTTGGTCTATTTGAAAAAAAAAAACAATTACGCGGTCAGACAAACAAACTCACGTGGAGTTGTACATAGCTTTATTTAATAAAACTACACGTAAAGTAAACAATAAAGTAACGGTATTTATAATAGTGTACAGAGTATGAAACAGTTATGAGTGTTCAGTGCATGACACAGTTTTACGAATTAGTTGAAACAAATAAACTAACAAAAACGAAGGATGAAACCCGTAGTGAAGAAAAAGTAGCTAAAAGGTGTTTATAGCAGTCTATGAAACGAGACAAATCTAAATTATTGCAAAATAAAGTAAATGTAAAGTTGTAATGAAGGCAAACGTAGCTGAATATGCAGAAACATCTGAATTCGTATTCACAAAGTGATAAGCATATGGTTTTGAACGAACTGCGCATGCATATTTTATACCTAAATAAGTCGAGAAAGCCCATAGAAAATGTATTTAGTGCATTGTTTTTTAAAGAAAATTAAACGCAGGTTAAGTGTAATTTGTGTGAAATACTTTGCAGATAAAAAAACAACAACAACTAATGTTGAAATCGAAGCCAATCGTCACGTGATGACAACAAAATTGTACTATCGTGTAGAATACTCGTTGCTTTAAAAAGATTGACTAAGCAAAAAATAGTTAAGTTGATTCTGAATGTAAAAGCCAATATGCTATCCGGAATCCTCGGACAAAAGTCTTTCAAACAATATGAGATTTGAAACATTTGATCGAGAAATTTGCGAGAATAGTTCCGGACAGACAAACGCCAGCTTATGATTTAAATAGATAGGTACAAAAAATATTGCCCCTCAGTGGCATAGCGGTATGTCTGCGGAATTACAATGCTAGAATCCTGGTTTCAATGCTCGTGGCGGTCAGAGCACAGAGAGCCCATTGTATAGCTTTGTGCTTAATTCCAAAAAAACAAACAAAGAAATATTCCTATAACTATGAAGTTAGTTTTCCAAGGCTTCCCAATTAAGGACTACTAGAGCGAAAGTGGACTGATATAAAAGGTATGGCTTTACTTAGCCCAAGTCTTGTATTCTATAAAATTCACCACTACACAACGCATTCGACGACAATGGAAGGTAACAAAAATACGTATATTCACAAAACATATAATTTCTTCTTTTGTGTGTGTATTACATAAAAATGTAAACATTCAATGAGCTAAATATTCTACTGTATTTAAACCTAAAAACTTAGACACGTAATAGATAAAAATTAACAATGAAACATTATTCATTTATATATGTATTTTGAAATATGTTTATGAATATTTACATATGGAGGTAATAAGCTTTACAAAATGTTTTACAATCAAACAAGTTTAGTGCTGCCATCTAGGGATTTAACTCTCACACCGAAAAATAATAAAGTGATAATTTTCAAACCACTGCCATATATTTGTAAATTCATTCCACCGGTGGGTTAGTAAATCACTGTTCGTCTATAGGGACAAAGATTTATATGGTAATGAAAGGCTAGAGAGGAATCATTTGAAATTTAAGGACTTGTGAAAAAGATGTGAATTAATAAAAAATATTGCATACAGTATCTAAATATGTGTAATATTTAAAACTTAGTCTTATCTCTGCAGATTCTATTTCTCGAAAACTAATTTGGAGAACAATCTCTTAAAATATTGTGCATTATTTTCCTTTGTTTTCAGTACACAGTACTTCTAGAATTTTGAATACAAACTATTTTGATCAGAATTTTTATAACTACACTTACTGCACTATTATCTATAAAACCAAGTACACAAAATCGTTTACATAATAATGCTTTAATATCTTTCCAAATGATTATCTTGTCAAAACATAGTTTATAAAACAAACAAACTCAGGTAAACACGCAAACGCACAAACACAATAAAAGGCGGACAGTACTCTCAATCAACGGTATTATTTACATAAGTTGATATATACATGTCCTGTGTTGACATTTAGAATGAGAAAAAAAAATCTGGTTAACACCCTGAGCTTGAACTTTTCCCCAACACACAACACATACAAACTTATACTTGCTTGAGTGTGTTGGGGTGTGGAAGGAAGGAACTATATATATTTACTTCACTTAACAGTCATACTTCTAACTTTGTAGTCGAAAAACGGAGAAAATTCATCTATTTGCTTTGAAATACTTAGTGCTTAATTTATAAATAAATCTAACAATAAAGCTTCTTTAAACAATCGTTTATCAGATATTATCATGTAAAAACTTTGGTTATCCAAGATAAAGCAACAAGTTTATTGTGTAACACTTACTGGGAACTTCCCACTCCACATCTAATCCTCTGTAGGCATTATTTAATTTGGCAGTAATAAGCTGAAGTGTTAGTTTCTGCTTTGTTACCACAAGATTCTGTCTGGTCACATCTAAACTGACCTCCGGGTTGTCCTTCTGATTGACAAGTCCATTGCCTACTAGCGTGGCTTCATATCTACATAAATATGGAAACGGGATGAATTATTCATACCACAATACGTTCTATAGAGGTCTGCTTTACAGATTATTTCTAACAAACTATATGTTTTCCAATCTGCATAATAACTCTTCAAATGTTTTACTGGAATCAAAATTTTCTGACATACTAAATTTCTCCACAAACATTTAGGAAAATTTTGTTAGAAAATATTGTTATAAACATATTACAAAAAACGTTGCTAGCTACAGTCAAACCAATTCATTTCTATATCTTAATACCATATAATTTTTTGACAGGTCCAATCAAGTTTCAGAAACAACCTTACTAACTCACCAAATCAAGAGCGTGTGGGTGTGAATCGTTTTATGTCACGATTAACCTATCTCAAGTGCACATAATTTAGATTGTTTAATTATCATGATTATTAATGTAATTTCTACAATTTTGTAAACCTATGACTTTTCAAATATATATAAACAAATTACTAAAATAAAATGTATAGAGCATTTTATCTTTTCATATAGGGAATACCAAAACAAATTAACGATTCAAAGTAGAATATAAACTGAAACATAAAGCTCTACACATTGTTTATTTCCTATCATAGAATAACCTTTGTTTCTGCACTCACTTTGCTTTTGTTAGTCCATTCCAACAACTTTCTTGGCTATTTCTTGTAGTTCGATCACCTGTAACTTTCGGATTGTTACAGAGTTCACTGGGAAGATTGGACCAAAAACTCTTTGTGCGCCTGATCTTCTTTTTGATTTTCCCTAAAAGCTGATTCAGGCCACTTTTGGTAGCTCCGTGAATGTCATGTCGTGGGCCAAACTTGTATGTCTCGAACTCCAACTCCTTCCTAGTTTCTCTTTTTCCAAGTCGAGGCTTACCACACTTCTGAAACAGCTGGAAAAGTAGAATAAAAAATGTTACAACGGCTAAAGAAGTTGACTGGAAAATGTCAAAACTGATTAAACTTGATTGTTACATAATATCAAAAATTAGCCAAATTACCGAATTATGGTTAAATAAAGAATAGTTCGTTTTATATAAAACAAAATATAGTACAATAGACTTAAGAGAAAATATAGGCATGTCAGAGACCATTACAGTAAGGAAAGTATGCCGACGATATTAAGGACAAAAGACGAAGACAAGACGTAAAATGGGACTTTTGCAGACAGAAGTGCACGAGAACAATTGCAAAGTTTAAAAATAAAGATGGAACTAACATTACTAGACTTAATATACGCACGTAGAACATAAAGTTTTTTTTACCACAAATTCAAATTGCCAAAAACTCTCTCTCTCCTGACTTCATTTGTTGTGACCTATCTTTTAGCATTCTTTGTTGTCTTTTTTAATTGTATTGGTGTTTTTAAAAAACCAGGGATTGTTCTCTTAAGCATTAAATATTTTGTTAGTAAATATATATACTTCCATAGTTAGTGAAAATAATGGTAAAAGTCACTATCAATAATTCTATTTAAAGTCTAATAAAGTGTTTTTGAAACTATGAAAGTCTAACACAGAATTAACTTTGGAGAAGAATGAGAAACATATACAACAATCTATGTTTAAAATAAATGAATTTCCTATCAGTTTTCATAGTTGAAAAAACAATTAGTTTATTTAAATTAATTAACTTATTTCGTACAACTGTTACTGCATCCTTTCAATTTTTTATTTTTTTGACATTGCTTTTGCAATCTAGAGAAATTGATTGGTTGTTTGGCGTTTATTGGCGCAAGTAACTAGGCTATCTGCGCCTCTAGAGAAATAATAGAGGCAAATAAACAAACGTCTTACCATTATTTTATCGAGCTAATATCTACATATTGGCAAAGTAACAGAAAATTGACTTTATCAATAAGATTTTTAACATTTCTTGATTCTCGCTCTACACATTGTTAGAGGTTAACAGGTTGAAAATCCATGAATAAAAAACATTGTTGTTGTTGAGTAACGGCCAAGTTTATAATGAGAAAAGAATTAACTAAACGACCACACCTGAACTCTCCGTTTTAGAGTTGAAGAACAGGAAAGTAGGGTGAAACTCAACCATTTTTCATGGAGACATATCTAGCAGGTTACGCTGTTGGAAAAGTCCCTGCTGAGCTTTTCCTGCTACCGCAACAACATTCCTACATCCACCGCTAGGTGAAAAGGTCAAACTGCGCCCAACGTTTTCAGACATAACTGTATGCACAGACTTGAAGGCCACAAATTCTCTTCGTCTATAAACGCGAATAACTGCGCACAAGAGCCGCCAAATAATCTTTTCTGCGATAAGTTTCAATTGCTGAAGTCAATGGGCAAAAGTGAGAGGTCCCTGATAACGGTGATGAACGATGACGACTCAAGTTTACCGCCTTAGCCTCTGCAGAAACGAACTTATAGAGGGTACAAAAACAAGGTGAAGGCCACGCACGTACTTACACGTTGTTACACCATAGTATTTAGATAAAGCACGATGTCATTAAAACTTTATTTAATAACCCTTAAGAGATAATTTTCCGTCATTCAAACATATATTTCATAGTCTTACAATATTAGTTTTAAAATATAAATCTTAATTTTTAATGAACACAAATGATTTTCCAGAAATTAGTCAGAGTTTAAGTAAAGACAATGCATTTAGAAGTACAACTTGAAAAATGTTATATAAAATGGCGTAAGTGATTAAAAGTAGAAATAAACTCCAATGAAATACGTACGACTATATCTTCTGACGTGAAGAGTAACTTGAAACATCAGCCACAAAAAAAAAACATTCTGAACACTCTTCTAATAACGTCTACAAGTGAACGAATGTCTCCGTTTTGATGTCAACATTTGAATATACCTACAACCGTATTTCAACACACACGCACGTGTATGTTTAAATCTGAGAATATAGTCTTCTTACACATATTACAAAAATATGTATAAAATAAGGCTAACTGAGAGAAATCGTAACGTAGAAAATATTTCAATAAGAAAATCAGACGTCAGACAAAGTACATGCTTCCACACACGTGCTTGGAAACGAACTTAAGCAGTAATTATCTTGGCACCGGAGTTGACTCATTTGGTTGTAAAATTGGAAGTTTAATAAGAGATACAAATTTGTTAAGCTAGCAGTAATTCTGCAGCCCATACCGATATAGATATAAATCTTGTTGACATCGTTCTAGGAAGTATGGATGGTGGAGTTTTTGCAGTATTCTGTGACCATGTCCTTAAATATTTGTATTACTGTACTTATCACCTATGATTTGAAATTCGTACTGTAACAAAAGTTTTATCCGTAACAATTACACGTCAGGTTTGAGAAAGACTTATTGACAGAAAAGTATTTAAATGAACAAAAATAAACGGAAAATAAAGGAAAAGTGGGTCATAAAGATGAAATAATAAAAGCAGATTTTATGTTCAAGCCCAAATTCTAATCTACATACAAATAGGAATAGACGAGTTTAAAAGTTTTAAAACAAATGGACAGCTGAAATATGACAAGACAAAAAAATCACTTGCAGTGACGTAATTTGAAAAGAATAACCCTTAATTGAAACTTAACTCACTCTTGCGGAATTGCGGTGCAATCTTACAATTAAAATATTTGCCATTAATTTGTATAAAAAAGAAACTAACACACATATTCATTAAAAACATTAGATACGTATGAAAAATGTAATTTATGTAACCTAATGATTCATTATTTACAAAATTATTCGACTCTAGAAGAAAAAAAAAGTGGCTCGGGGCAACTAAAGACCTTGTACACTTAATTTATTCACCCATACTTTAACAAACTTGTAAATATAATACAGAACAAATTTATGCCATTCTGAGGAAATTCGACCGAAATCGTTAATTCCTTAATATTTTTCGATTTATCTTGAAATTCCACAATAATAGAAATATTCTCTCTCGATTTATAAATTAGATTATCTTGGATCATGCCAGTTACATTTACCGTATCTAACACGATCTCCTGAAAGTTCATGCCAGTTACATTTACCGTATCTAACACGATCTCCTGAAAGTTCATGCCAGTTACATTTACCGTATCTAACACGACCTCCTGAAAGTTCAT